ATATATATATATATATATATATATATATATATATATATATATATATGCTTCTTGGAGTAAATAAAGGCACATCTATCAATGGTTATATGAGGAGACATATATAACATCGAAATGTAATCTCATGATCACAAGCAAGCAAAACAAAATCACTAAATCAACTTCGAATTCCAGTTAAAACTTTTACTCTCGCTAGGCTGGAATACCCTTGGGAAATCTATGAATTTACTCTCTGGCGAAAAGATCCATCGTTAAATACTATAATGACAATATTTCATGTCTCTCATACTACAGTTTCATAAAAAGAGTCACTTAGTAAGCCATTAAAGAAGCAGCTTTCTTATAATTAGCATCCAGTCAATAATAACGTTAAGCATTTGTTGCGCTCAGTTTCATCCTAGAAAGAGACTTGAAAAAAATGTATATAATTACAACTGTATAAGTCAACTGATATATAACGATTAATGTATTCATGTTTATTGAGTAATTGTTGATAAAGAATGGCACGGAAATATTTGGTCCCGTGTGAATTAATTTAAAACACAAGAATTGCGTTGTGTTACCTGAAGACAATGTCATTATAAATTCAGTTTATTGAGTTCTATTTGCTATTTCTTACATTCTGTTTTATACACAGACATTTCTGAAGGTATTTAATTCTACATATATTTTAAGTGCCAGTTTGACGCATTCAAGTTGGTTCGTCACTTCATCCCAGAAAGCAAGTTTGTGATGTTTATGCCACGTTGAACATTTCCCACTCCCATTTTTTTTTTTCAGTGGGTAACGCAATGAAAACAAGAAGGGAAGCTTTTAGTGTAATGGAGTGAAATGCAAATAAAATAAGCATCGGCATTTATTCTTGCGGACATTCGGAAAAGTCCGTGTTTGCAACCGTCAATCTAAGTGCGAATCAAATTATTCAGCTTTAAAATCTCCTACAGTAAAAGCAGTTACAGTATTAAATATTTGCTAAAATGTGAATTGCAGGCAGAAACATGCTAAAATCTCATAGAACAGCACAATTATATATATATGATTTTTTAAATTAGTTTTACTCATTTTAATATTATCTTAGCACAAAATTTCTATTTGAATTTTTGCCATTTACATAAGCAAGGTCCATTGACGTAAATTTACAGCATTCGAACAAGCATCCACTAGCCTAGAAGAACATTATGATAGAAGGCTGAAATTATGATAGAAGGCTGAAATCAGATGTAGAAAACGATTAAAAGTTAATGAATGAACTGTAACTAGGATCTTATTGGATTTATTTTTCTATACAATGGTATCAGCAATTAAACAAAAATAAAGTAACAATAACTACGTTCATTTTTAATCATTTTTCGTCATGTGATTCTTCTATTTTGTCTTTTCATAACTTTTTAAATATCTCTCATCTATTTTCTGATCCAAGTTAATTCCTTACGCTTAGGTATATGCATAAAATTACTCTTTCTCTTGAAAATTTTTCATTTCTAATCAATTCAAGGTATCTTTTGAATGTTCATGTTTCGCCCACTTATATGTCGCTATTGTATTTCCTTTTTAATTTATATGTTAAGTATACTGACATAGAGATTTTCAGAGTTTTAATTTTTGCTAAATGCATTTTGCCCGAATGTTATACATAATTTTATTTCTAATTCATTGTCTTTATGCTAATGTTATCACTTTTCTTCAGTGTATGAATTCTCGGGCGTCTTTTGATTCTTCCTCTTATGCTCTTTTTCGCGGTATTACAATTTAATATTGTTTTTCGTTTTTTTCTTTTTAAAAAAAATCTTCTAATATATTCGAGGGGTGCTAAATAATTCTTGATCTCACTGAATTTCTGAAATTTGTTTTATTTCGATTCAAAGAGAGATAATTACGAAAATGAAAGAGATATTTGGAAATTCACGGACGTTTCCATCCTCTTACCTTATGAGATCATATTCAACCACCCTCTGAGGTTTATCCAATATTTAAGTAGAGCCGGTCGAGTCGGTTTTAGGGTCATTACCTCCAGGGCAACATATTGGAGACCGGGACATGATTAGGTATGTTAATTGAAATTGGTGAAAAGGACATTAGGAAAATCAGACTAATCTTACGGCTGAAGAAACCTCTCGGTCATCAGTCAAATGTCGATCCATATCGCCTCGAAGTATATAATTTGTAATAGTAGAAACTGAAAATTATTAATTCTATTTGAGGGGAACGGTTATTATTGTTTGTTGCCGGTTATTATTAGCATAATATAGGCAAAAATTTTTCCAAAAATTTCATTTGTAAATTTGAATTAAAGACAAACATATTTCTAAAAGTTGTTTGCATTAGAATTTTATATTCGGCTCAATTATCCAAATACATCTGGTAACACATATGAGGCCTGTTAACTGATAGATGATATTTTGTTTGTTCTTTTGGAAAAAAATAGACTGGTGTTGCATGTTGAGAATAGATTTACTCCTTATAAGGAATAAATATGCGATTTGCTTACGGAGAGGAATGTTGAATTGAATTTTTAAGAAATCCACACAATAGAGATTTTTCGACATTATTGAGTGGAAGCAAAGATCTATTTTTCAATACATTTCCTTGTGAGCAGTATTCGACAATAATTAAAAGTTTCATGAGTTCCCAGGCACTTACTGTCTGATGATTTGTGAGAATGCATGAAGCATTTAGTTGTGATCGACCACTGTTCACCAGCAATTTAATGAAAAATATTAAGGCTCTGTCAGTTTATATAGTAATGAGCTCTCTTTCTTCGATGAGCCTCTATAGCAGATGTCATTAGGAGTTGCTTATGTTATTTCTATTATATATATGTCTTCCATCAATGATTAAAAATGCTTTCAACGGCAGCAGGTACACACACATAAATACACACACACACACATATATGTGAGTTTGGGGGTTTGGGTGGTTGTGTGTTAGTAAACACTAAGCACAACACCAAGGAAAGTCTTTTTCATGTTTCAACTCAGTCTTCTAGCCTGAAGATTGTGTTGGAACATGAAACAGCCTGTCACCAATTTTGAACTCATTGTCCACTTTTATATTTTTATTTACATACGTTCTATCTCGGATATTGATAACTTTTACTCATAAATATAGGATAAACTTAAAAGCATATTTTATCACACACACATCCACACACACACACACATATATATATATATATATATATATATATATATATATATATATATCTGTTTGCTTGTGTTTTATAGGCCGCTCAGCATTTGGACCTTTTAAGCTGAAAGGTTTTAGGCTACTTTCCGGAAAAGGGTGCTGCAACCATCCTGCTAGTTAAGTACAAATTCTGACCCTTTTCTACCAAAAAGTGCCCAGAAAGCTTGAATTTGAGTTTCTATGAATAAAAGAATGATACTGGGCAACATGTCGGCATAAGGGTCACGACCCCGTCGCGGGTCAAGTGTAATTGTTGTTTATTTTCTACTAAAACATTCCCAGAATGCCTGAGGTTTTGAGCCTCCAGAAGTCATGTGGGTTAATCGCGTTTTTAATTTCTCTCAGAAATGATGTCCCAGTGGTTTTATGGCATTTTATGTGCACAGTAAAAAATTTGAAGGAAATCTTCCCGAAATTTGGAAAGAACGCTGTTTCACCCATTTAATTTGGGGTGCTAACTTTATATATACTATAGCCATTATTATGGGAAAATATGCCGCAATATTTACTGGAACAAGTCTATTTTGGTTTGAACAAATCAAAACTTGCTACACACATTAAAATTATAAAGGGCCATTAATCAATAGCTTCAATTTCATTTCTTTTCAGTCTTTCAAGGGATAAACGTCTTTTACTTCATCAAGCGACAGTGACATATATGAAAGTGTTCCTTAGAAACAAGTTGTTTTAGAAACACGTATAAGTTTGGTTAACATATTTTTACTCGAGTTGCGCTTTTTTCGCACTCAGTGTTTTATTAATCCGGATTGGATCCAATGTTAACTTCATCCATCCTCTTCGTTGTTTAAGGTGCCTATCAGATGAAGAACGCCATTTTATGCTCGTATTTTCAATTTTTAGTATACACATTGACCGGTGGTCAGTGCATGATATTCCTCTCCATCCTTTAGCAAATATGTTCCTGTCCAATGCATCCATTATTGCACGCTGTTGCAAACTCGTTCTTGTCGCTCATAACAGGCCTCATAAATGTGCCTGGCTGTAAATGTTATTGACACTGTCCAGTAAATATCTACACAGAAAGTAATTGAAAATTACTGATTAGGAGACTGATGTTTGAGGTGGAAACGGTGGTCATCAATGTAACGGAAAGCAATGTATGGTTTGAGAATGGCAATAATAGAAGTTTCTTTGATGTGATACGTATATTTGAATATTGATAGCGTCTTTCAGTGTAAAAGAAAACGCTGAAAATAGAAGGCGAGTATTGTGTAAGAACTTTGATGGAGACGTGGAAAAAATATTGCTTTGAGAGAAAATTGGCTTGCACCTGGGAACTTGGCAAATTATTGCTTTTTTAAAAACTCGTTTTTCTACAGTAGAGCAGATTAGATGAAATCTTGTATAAGTCACATGATAAAAAATTCGATTACGTTCTAAATTATATTTACTTCTTTTTTCACTAGGAGTGACTGCGAAAACTTTTTTGAGCAGAAACGACAATAAAAGAACAGGGCTCAAGGAAACAGAGGATTAGAAATGACACAACATTTAATTTTTGAAGATCAAAAAGCAGGAAACCAGAAGAGAAATGAGAAATAGGAGAGGAGAAACTATTCGCATAGAACTTGGTTACATCTAATAATTTCAAATGTAAAATGATGACATCTAGCTGACAGTCTAGGACTCTGTTTACATTCGTAATGTCTAGGTACCAAAGAAGACAACTTATCAGAACAATTACCATGGAAATATTTATAGAAAAGGCATAGAGAAACCAACGTTGGGAAAATGATTGAAGCCAAGATGCCAGGTCAGATAACCTTACAGACAATTATTTAAATTTTTTCAATAATTTATAGATAGATAGATAGATAGATAGATAGATAGAAGAAGTAAATTTGACAGGAATATTCAATATATGAACGAACGGTCGACTTATAAATATGTAATATAGTTTCTGATGACAATATTGTCTGGCACGACACATAATTGTTTTTAGTTGATTTGATTGTAATTAGGTGTCATCTGTAAATCATGGACAATAAATGCATTGAAATAAACAGATAGACAGAACTTTTTATGTATAGTGCTATTGATTTAGTCCTCAATTATACTTGAATGAGTGGAAAAAGATGAACGACTTATGTAAGTGGTTTCCCAGATTAGAATACTAATCACTTCACAGATGTGAAACCCGAAAAACTAAGTGTTTTCTACTCGTACTTAAAATTTTTGATGTTTATACTGAAGTACGCGGAATACACGGCTCAACAGGCATTCAAACTAATGATTACTGTTATGATGAAGGTAGTGTGAGAAATGAATGAAAACAGAGGTGGTGAAAACGATATAAGAATAAGGAGCATAGACATCGATCTTTAACTTGAAGATGTTCAGAATCTAATGTTCTAGGCGGGTGTCTGTTCCACTAAGTTACAGTTTTGGAAAAAAAAAACTATGAATTCAAATTTCTTCTTTAATTTGAAATGGTGAGGAAATGATGATTATTCGACTCTGGCGATGTAGCAGGTGTGTTCAACCTGTAATAATTTGTACTGATGGAACACAAATGGATCTCATCTGAAGATTTATCATGGGAATGTTGACAGAATAAAGATTGACCTGCGAAGTCGAGTCTGCGGGAAAGACGCACCGTCGCAAGCCTGTCGCTTACTCTTTGAATGAATATGTGTCAGTCTTTGTGAATAGAAGCTTGATACTTTGTGATCGAATCTCCCTTTCGTCACTATTGCACCAGTTTACAAATATAAGCATAATTACCTTTTATACGTGGTTGTATGAGTAATTGTCGTTTTGGCCTTTGTCGATGGATGTATTGATTAAAACGGGATTATCGGTAGGACAAAACACAACTGTAGATGGTCTTAGTCGGTGATAATGAGACAAGTTACGTCAAGTCGAACAATAGGCATTATCGTCGAGCGTTGGCAGGGAAGGATGATGATAGATTAATCAAATATTTCAATAGCTATTACTTCCATTATTCACAAATGTATTGCTTCGGGGCTCTTTGTGATTGGCTACTATGTAATATCTACCAGAAAGATAAAATGGATAAATTATTGATATCCGCTACGTGATATTTGTAGCAATCTAAGAATTATAAATGAATGATGGACGAACAGTTAACTATAAGCATTGTGGCATTTCTTTTTAACTATTATTTCTTTTACTATCATTAACAGTATCGTTTACCAGAGTGGGGATAACGAAACCAAACACATAAACAATAAATAAGATTTAATCAAAACGACAAAGTTAAAAAAAAAACGATGTACTGTGTTAGATGTGTAAACAAACACACGCACAAACATGTTCGCGCGTGTAACCATACACACGCACAAACGTGTTCGCGCGTGTAACCATACACACACACACACACACACACACACACACACACACACACATATATATATATATATATATATATATATATATATATATATATATACAAACATAAGGACCGGTTTGATAGTAATTTATTTTCACGGAAATTAAAATAGATACAAGGAATACATTAACCTTTTTTGTATAGTGCATATTTTGACTACAAAACATCATCCTTGACGATATCAGGAAAATACTGTCTGTGGAGTTCATTTTTCATAGGCCTCAATTGCTAAAGCCACTATTGAAAAGCATTATAGACAACCTATGTGTGTTTCTATGGACTATTTTTTCTCCGAAAACATTTAGCAAATGTCTATGAATATCAATAGGTTCATCTCTTTCCGCAGCGAGGAATTCAATGACATTATTTTTCGTCAACACTATTATGACGTTACTTTGTCTAATTTATGCACACCTTTTAATAAACCAGTATGTAACGGAAGAAGGCATAAAGAGCATGGGACAAAACAAGTGAAAGTCTGTATGTAACGGAAGAAGGCATAAAGAGCATGGGACAAAACAAGTGAAAGACTGTATGTAACGGAAGAAGGCATAAAGAGCATGGGACAAAACAAGTGAAAGACTGTATGTAACGGAAGAAGGCATTAAGAGCATGGGACAAAACAAGTGAAAGACTGTATGTAACGGAAGAAGGCATTAAGAGCATGGGACAAAACAAGTGAAAGACTGTATGTAACGGAAGAAGGCATAAAGAGCATGGGACAAAACAAGTGAAAGACTGTATGTAACGGAAGTAGGCATAAAGAGCATGGGACAAAACAAGTGAAAGACTGTATGTAACGGAAGTAGGCATAAAGAGCATGGGACAAAACAAGTGAAAGACTGTATGTAACGGAAGAAGGCATAAAGAGCATGGGACAAAACAAGTGATAGGCTGCGTGCAACTAAAGAAGTGAGAGACTGAATGAAACAACGAGCGATAGATAACGTGTAATAAAACGTGATAAACTATATGGAACGTGACAAGGTAAAAACTGCATTCGTTGAAAATGTGAGAAAGCCTGGAAAAAAGTAAGTGATAGACTGCACGGTACAAAACAATGATAGACTGCACGGTACAAAACAACTGATAGACTGCGTGAAGTGAAATAAAGTGAACAAAAGAATGATTTAACTGCATGATACAAAATAGGCGATAGACTGCATGGAACAAAATAAATGCTAGACTACATCGAGAGAAATAACTGATCCACTAAATATAACCGTCATCTAGAAAACAACGTACAAAGAAGACCATGCAATGAAAGCATGCTGTGTTGTGATTGTCAACAGTCCACGCGTTGTCATACAGCAAAATCATTCTTGTTTAAAAAATTATTTTATCTTTCGGTTGTTGAAGCAGGCGAGTTGTTTCATGTAGTCTTATTTTCGTACTTATTTCAGATTTAAATCATCCATGATTTCCTAGAGAATAGTTAATATAGGATATCTTTGTAGAAGCTTCTGTTTAGGTTGAGTTGTTAACGGTTCTCTCAAGTCTAACAATTCGTTTTCATCATTTTGTCTTCTCATAAAAAACGTATTTTCCAATTCTAGCGATTGTCTTCTACCAAAATGACCATGAAAGTACCGAGATAGTCAGCGAAGTTAAAATTTGACCAATTTTCGTAATTGCTATTGCTGCTTTGTGCAAGCAAAGACAGTTGCCAAAACATCAAAGAAAATTTTGACATTATCTAGATAATTTTCAAAAGACGGAGCTAACTGCACTTGTAAAAAAAAAATTAAGGACATTTTTAGCACTTACGCACAGTCATGCGAATAGATCTACCTATTTTTGAATTTAAAGTCTGCCATTATAAATATCTGAGTTCAGGACTTTGAACGATTTGCCAAAGTATGGGTATTTTTTAAAAAGAGAAATCGGGCATACACTTGACACTTTCCACAGGCTTGGGAAGGATTCTTCCTTCAAGCAGTGGTTGAATAACTTTGCTCGGATTAGGGATAATTCCGGGTTGATTTTCTTAAGGACAATGTAAATTTCTAGTTTTAAAAATGGTTTGCTTAATTTGCTACAGTTATTTTTTTGACATATGCAATGAAAATGAAGATTCCTTCTTCAACATTTTAAAGCCATGGGTGATATATATATATACCGAAATAATTAGGGAGTCAAAATAAAGCCTTATCATCCTCTCCAGGCTCTATTATTATTATTATTATTATTATTATTATTATTAAACAAAATAATTTCCGTAAATCTTCCAATAATTTGCAACACTCGAAGATGAAAATGAAAATAAAAGACAGAAATGTTTACTAATATTTAGACAATATGTCTGTCTTCAAGTTATGTTTGACAATAATAATAATAATAATAATAATAGTAATAATAATAATAATAGTGACTAGCAGATTGAGAAATAACCCGAAATGTATTTTTTCTTTGTCTCTACCACTTTGTTTAATGAATTCTTTGATAGTTTTTCCGCCAAGCTGTAGTAGGAGGGGTAGCATACTCTATAAAACTTGATAACTATCACTCATTCGCGTCGGAAAGTTGAACATTTTTGGAAAGCCACTTGTGCCGTCCTCTCAACATATAAGGAATCGTACATTTTATACCAGTTTAAATGACATTTTCCCTTTTCGTTGATATCATTCTAAGTCCCTTTGACTTAATTGAAGTAATCCTTTCGTTTAATTTTTTCCTTTTTCCTTTCTGTTTTTTTGTGGTCACTCCAACTTATACTAAGTTAAAACTAAGTATAGTCAGTACCATGTCTATACGCATATGCTACCCCTCTGAATATAATACTCAATTATGAATTCCTTAACCGTGAAGAGAGGAATCAGTCTGGGACTGAAAAATCTGTCACTGGAACAAACTCTTCCAAAAACGAAGAGACACTAGGTCACCAAACCCGGATTTTTCCCAACCTTGGACAACTGACTCAATACCAAATCAATTAATAAAAAGAAAACGAACGAAATTGTCTCGTGAAGATTAACAACAAGTCATGACATCATTTTTCACTTCACTCGAAAATCCAGCAAAGAATCAGACATACCAAATATGGAGAACTATGGTAGGAAGTGAAAGACATCATCTCAATCCAAAAATGTTTGCCAATGTCCGCAGGGACATTGTGCGAAAGAAAAGACTCTCAAATGCGGAAATAGATAATATAAAATTAGATATAAGACAGAATACTATAACCCATCACTCAAACTATGAAGAAATGAAAGTAGAAATAAGGAATATGACAGATGATGAGGTAAAAACTAAAACAAAAACAAAAATACGAAATTACCTCTCAGGAAATAAAATCGAAGAATCTACCTGTGACATAACCTTATTTATCCAGGCGATGTCATTGAAGTTGACTCCAGCCATATTAAGCTACAATTTCTTGAAAACCACTAAGCCGAAATCACCGAAGAGAAAAACCACGTCATCCAAGTACTTAGCAGAGTAACTCTCATACAATTGTCAGACAGAGACCAGCTCCCAAAAATAGGAAGCTTGGCTTCAGCACAATGAAAAAAATAACAACCAAAGTGAGCCAGCTTGGAAGGCAAAACTGGTTCGAGAAATAAAGGGAATTAGATATGAGCTTTCTATATTAGATGAGCTCATTAGAAACACAAACATTTCCACACGCAAGTTCAAGAAGATCAAGCGGAAATATAAATTAAATCCTTAATTGAAATTCCATCAATCAAGGAAATGCTCAGACAGAAACTTCAGTTAAATGCACGGAGAACAAGACGATGTGCAGACATTTTGGGAAAATATTTGGAACAGACCAAAGGATTATAACCCAAATGCAGAATGGATCATACCTGAAGAAGACCGAATTCTGGATACACCTCTTCAAGAGTGAGATAATATAACCACAAATAATTTTAGACAAGCTCTACCGAAATCCAAAAAATGGAAATCCCCAGCAAATGACAAGGTGCCCAATTTCATCTCTCATCAATCCATAAAACCCTTGCAAAAACTCTTGTAATTAATCCCACTGAAATGGATCACTGAAGGTATTACATAACTCATATCACAAACGTGTAAAAAAGATGATCCGAAAAATTATAGGCCAATAACATGTCTCTCCACCACGTATAAATTGATCACGTCTGTCCGACGAACCGTATTTACTCCTTTTTCGAAGCAAACAACATTCTTCCAATAGAACAGAAGGGACGCAGGTGATGTTCATATGGTTGCAAAGATCAGCTACTGATAAACAAAATTAACCTGGAAAATTTCAGAAGACGACGTAGAAATCTTAGCGCACCGTGGATTGATTATCGTAAAGCCTTTGATAGTGTGCCACACTCTTGGATCCTTAAGACTTTGGAAATGTACAAAGTTTCCCATGTGGTAGTAAATCTCCTTAAGCACAGTATGGAAATGTGGAACATCACACTATACCTTAGTCACACCAGAGGCACTCCAACCGCCTGAATATCCAACGTGAAATCTTTCAAGGAGACTCCCTGTTACCCCTTTTGTTTTGTTTGTACTTAATCCCCCTTACGCATGAACTACACAACAGTAGCTATGGTTACAGAATAAATAAGAATATATTCAATCACCTATTCTACATGGATGATCTTAACCTCTTTGCCAAAGACGATAATGAGTTTTAGGGGCCTCTTCAATATTGTAAAAGTGTTTCAGTGACGATATAGGTATGGACTTCGAATTAGATAAATGTGCAAAAGTAACATTCAAGAAACTGAGAATTGCAAAAACACCCCCAATAGATTCAGACTTTATCACAAAGATGAGGGAACTGGAAAAAGATGGAGCCTATAAGTAGCTTGGAAGTAGCGAAGGAAATGCTATAAAACATACGCAAATGAAGGTGAAGGTTACAAAGGAGTACTACAGGCGTGTGCGTATGGTACTAAATACCGAGCTGAACCCAAAAAACAGAATATCAGCAATAGACACGTTGGCTGTCCCTGTGGTGCAATACAGCTTTTATGTCCTTAACTAGACCATAGCTGAAATTAAGCGAATGGACGCCAATACGAGAAAGCTTCTCACTTGCCACCGCATGCATCCTCCTAAAGCTGATGAGGCATAGGATTAGTTCAACTAGAACTGTCCTACAAATCTACAACAATTGGCCTTTAAAGATACCTGGAAACTATGGAAGACTGGATGATGATATATGTCAAAGAACATGAAAGTAGTAAGCGTTTTTATCCGTAATAAAGGAAGCCAACAATTTCAAAATGGAGTTTTGAAATGGATGCAGAAATACAAGTAAAACACAATACACCGGCTGAAGCAAAATACTTAAAAAAGAGAGCAAAGACAAATGCAACCGACCAGATACAGAAATGAAGGCAAGATAAACCGATTCGCGGCCAATACTCTACCCGTATCAAACCAGCTGATGTAGATAAACCCCGTACCCATCAGTGGCTACGTAGTGCAGGGTTAAAACTTGAAACTGAACGATTTATCCTTGCTGCAAAAGACCAATGTTTGTTAACTAGAAATTATCAAGCACATATACTAAAATATCGTGTCAGTGTATAATGTAGATTCTGTGATAAATATCAAGAACAATTGATCCTCTTGATCCAGGTTACACGGTATTGGCACCCCGCTGAATATGAAACCCGGCACGTCGGAGTGTGCCAATATCTGCACTGAAAAATCTGCAACTTCTATAGGAAGGATACTGAAAGAAACTGGTATGAACACCACCCAGGCCTGGTTACGGAGATAGAGCCTGTTACAATTTTATGTGACGACACACACGGAGACCAACAAAATGTAACCACCCAGGCATTGTTAGAGACCACAAAGAAAACAATTGCCTCCTTCTTGATATTGCAGTCCCTTCAGACTGCAATGTATCTTTGAAGATCTTCGAAAAGCTATCAAGGACTTTGAAATCGAATTCTTGTGGCACATGGCAACATCAACAATTCCTGTTGTAGTTGGATCCCTCGGAAAAGATTGAAGGGATAACTGGAAATCCATGCCTTAAAGAAATACGAAAAATTGTTCTCACGATGTGCTTATGATGCGCTTAATCTATGTAAAATATATTTGTGTATTTTTATTTTTTAATTTATCAGTGGAAAATGTATGCCATGATGCCATTTCTAACCTTAGGTCTCTGGGCAGAAATGTGTACACACTGGAAA